GATGTATGTTTGAACATTTGTGTCCCAGCCTTGCTTTTGTGAAAAACCCTGAGTGATGCAGAGCACCAGGTACAAGCTGAGTGTCACAGCTGCTAAGGTTTTTGGGTTGCTGGTGGAAACATGCGTGGTTCAACAGGGGAACCCATCAGATACCAACATGAGACAGTGAGGKTGGGCGAGTGTTGTGGAAGGCACTAAAATGATAGTAATCATTGCTAATAATTAATGCAATTCTGTGCATTCTTTTTCTCCTGCTTCATCAGAGTATTAGTAAGGATGGGAAATAGAGGTGAAGGATTCTTCTGGGAAAAATATCACRCTATTGAAATTGATTCTGATGTCTTGTTTAGGCTTACAGTTGCTGTACAAATACATGAAATAGTGTTGGAAGAAACCCTAAAGGTCATCCACTTCCAATCCCCATGCCATGAGCAGMGACACCTTCCACTAGACCAGATTGCTCTAAATCCTGTCCAATCACCTTAAACACTTGTAGGGCTGGGGCAGCCACAAGTCAGCCTAGAGGGGAATTAGAGAAAAAAAAMCAAACCCCAAAACATTAAAAGTAATAAAAATGTAAGCAGTTAAAACTTTCAAAATGAGAGATAATTGGTAACTCTGCTTAATGTTCTAGATTTTGACAGCTTAAAACACTGTTATGCTACAGTCGTTCATTGACAGGTGAATGAAATAAGTCMAACCAAATATATTCCTTCTGCTTGCTGCGTGTGTGATTTTGAAAACTTGACACCACAAAGAACAGTTGTACAGTCATACCAAATTCTAATGCTTGCCTTTCAAAATGCTGACCTTTAGCAGTGAGATTGCCTGCATCACAGATTCGTGATACAGCATCCTTCAGGAAAATGGATGTRTTAGCAGGGGTGCTCGTGGTGCTATCCATAGTGAGGCCATGATGCCAAAATTATGGAGGAAAATGKGTCTGTTTGTGTGGGAAGGAATATGAAATGGTGATTTCAGAAAAAGCATTTGAAGTGTGTTGATACTTGGCTGGGATGGGAATGCTGAGTGACTTCTGATGTGGCACAGCCAAACCCCAGAAAGAAGYGTGGTCTGCCATTCTGCAGAACCCCTGCACTGAGAACATGGTGGTCTCCTGGTGTCATCTTTTAAAGGATACTTTGCAAAAAAGAGATTTTGATGGTCCCTGTTAAAGCAAATTGAGAAWAGGCAAGCATACAGTTCTTTTGGTATCCTGTCAAAAAAAATTAGAGCTGGTGCATGATATGTAGATGCAGTTCCATCTAGCAAACCCAAAATCCAGTTTAGATAAAAGGTGGTTTTGGGGTGTTATTGTAGCAGTTACAGTGCTTGCCCTCCCTTCCTGGGACCTTGCCCTTCAAGGTTTAGACCATCATACGTGACCCAAAAAGATTCTTTGTCCTCCTTTTTACAATGTATTTTGAACTTGTCTCTACATGCACTCCCTAAATATTTTCAGGTTCTTTTCTTCATTTGTGCTATGCTGTGCAATGCTAATTAACAATATCTGGTTCTAATACTGCACTTTTTTTTTTAGTAGAATCTAGGATTCTTATGTAGATTTGTGATACTAACAACTGATTTTATCATATTATGGCTAAAATTGGAAAAAATACCATTTGCCATCTAAGTCAGGTATGTACAGAGAATTGTAGTGCACAATGCAGTAGGGAGGTAGGGACTAAACTAAGATACAACCTAAAAAAAGAAAGGGAATGAACTCTTTTGCCTACTCACTTCCCTCCTTGAAAGTACAGGAAGAGCTTCCCCTTCCCTCAACTGCTTCAATATGAGCAGCAGTTCCACAGAGAGGATGGAGGCATAATCTGTGCTGTTRGAAATGAAAAGGAGCAGCAAGCACCACCAGGACAGTTTTCTTGTTCTTGATGTGCACACCTTAACACAGCAATTAGAAGTCAAGGAACACAAGATTGAAACAGAAGGCGCAATCATCTGTTGAACTGATATTCAAAAATCCCATGTTGTAATCAATATAAAATGTAGTCTGTATCTGTTGTTCATTACTGTTCATCATTTCAGCAAATGGAAGTTTCATTTTCACAGTATTTTGTATTGTTCTCATATGTGTTTACAACTATTTGATTTACATTTGTTTTCAATTGTAATTTCAAATGTACAAAATGGCCCAAATTTTTTTTCTTTTCTCTAACCACTCTGTGTTGGAAAAGCCAACAAAAACTACAACAAAACAAATGAATAATTTTGGATGTAAGATCTGTTTGCTTTGAAAAAGATTAGTATGTTGGAGTGTCAAAATGTTGCCAGATCTGTTTCCTTTCTCCTCTCCAAGAGAGATGATTCTGAATTAGGAAAAACAGATCAAAGGGAAGAATTTTGTTCAGGCTACCTCTATTCCAGGTTCAGTTAGTAAGTACAGCATTCTGTTCTGCTCTAGGAAAATGTAAGTGGCACCCTTTCTTTTCTGTACGTTATTTAATCAGGTCTTGCAGTTGTTCACTGCATGACTGAGATCAAAAATGCCATTGATAAATTCAGAGAACAAGAGAGTGACTCACACATCCCACAGTTCAGATTAAGTGAAGGAGAAGAGCACTAAACAACAGAATTAATATGGTTTACTGATTGGCAATGCTTCCACTATGAATTGTTCCTAAATGATCTAATTTGATTTACAATAATTCAGCATAAATATAATCCATTTGTCAAGGAAGTGTCTTGTAATTTATAGTTTAGCATGAAATGTATGACATGGGGAGAATGATTTTAATTTGGTAAGCTCATGTTTGTGCAGCAACAAAAGAAAAAGAAAATATTCCTTAAAGAAAAAAGCAGGAAATAGTGGGGAAGATCTCAACATCCCACTGCAGGTTKCCTGGAAGGATCAGCTGCTGTCCTRAGGTCTCCGTGGTCCCAGGCTGGGCTGTTTCAGAGAGCCTCCTTTCAGCCTCAAGACTAAATTTTTAAAAATGTCCTTCTGATTTCTAGTATGATTAATTCACAGAATCACAGATTATGCTGAGTTGGAAGCAGATTGAGGGGTCCCATCAGTGCTCCTTTCCCTAAGTTTTGGCACGCCATCCCACTGCTCTTCACTGGACAGCCTGGTTTTGTTCCTTTGTTTGTTTCCCCCTTCCGAGCTTCTTTAAAGAAGAAGCCCTGCTAGATCCTGTGCTAGGGTTCCTTTTCCCCTCCRAGACAGGGGCATCCTGTCAGGTGTCAGTGAATCAGGTGTTGAGTAGATCATTCCATAGACAACAAACTCAACATTTTCCCACYGACAGCAGCCTTGGAGCCCTGCACTGACCTGATGAGTCTGCCTATTTGTGTCCAAGTAGTGCATTTCTTTTTCCCTGAAAGTCCTTCTTTCCAGGTTAACACTCTTTTAGTTCATATGCTTTTTTCAGAGGGAGAAAGGAATCTCTGTGTAAGAGCCTCATGGCAAATACTGCCCAGAGAGCAGCAGAAATAAAGCTGTAGTCTTATGATTGTATTTTAATAGCTTTCTTTTTATTTTAAGGTACTTAAAACTAATCCCCCAAGTTATCCCAATCACAATATCCARTGTAGCATTGTTTTTAGCTGCTAGCAGGTGGTTTTTAAAGCCCTCTTTAGATGATACATGGGGCCCACATACTCAAGTCAATAGTTAGACAGGATATAATTTAGGCTTCAGCTTTTCCTCTCAGTTTGAAATAAAATGATTACATTTCAGGGGAGCCTAAGGAAAGATTAAAAGTTTTATATCAAAAGTTGAATATTTTCTTTTGTTGTACCTTCTTCTTTTAAAGAAGATGGTATTCATTTAAAATAATGCTTGTATTTGAAAAGGCACTACTCTGAACTAAAAAGAGATTCATAAAGTATGCATGTATGGGAGGGGAAGATTGCAATCTTCACTGGAACAGTTAGTCAAAGGGTTTTAATGCAGCCCATTCTGCTTAATTGATAGAATGATGTACCTGCAAAGACAAGCTGTAAATAACAGATGGCCAATAGTGTTTACAGMGCACCGTTAAGGTGGCAAAATCTTCTGGGGCTCCTCTCCACAGGCAGGTTATAAAGAGATATTATCCTCTCTGTTTCAGACWGGAAAATGGTCTTTGATTGTGTTTAAACCCATTGAAAGTCATTCTCTGCAATAGCTCCATGTAATTATGTTTCTGGCAACTCTTGTAATGCCTTTCATTTCTTGTACCCTGAAGTTATACAAGGGTAGAGGGCACTTGTAGAATACAAAGTTGTAAGGCTGATGTGGGGCTCAAAAATAGGTGGAATGTCCCAGATATGAACAGAGTGAGAAGGCAGGAGTAAGATTAGAACAGGAAAAAGTTGTTTTGTGATAAGGTCAGGCAGCTTSACCTGTTGATGTCAGTGGGGCTGTTTTACCAAGGATGCCCTGGGCAACTTTTTTGAAAGCATTACCTACTAAATGGAATTCCTGGAAATATCCTAAAAGCATATGTGTCTCTTGTACTTCACCACATCAGCCAAATGAGCAAAGGTCTTCTTTTTCCAGAAGCCATCAGGACAGTGTAAAAATAATCTTGCTGTAGTTAAGTAGCCTGCTCTCATGCTTGTTAAAATGAAGACTGCAAAAACTATTGCTGTTACATAAGGGGAAGGGRTGTCACTGAACTAGCAAGTTGAAATTTTCTTATCATTTTATTGTGGAAGAAAGTTAATTTCTTTCAGTATATTCTTCTGATGAAAAAAAAAYAATTATTCTACCTGTTAGCACTAATGAATCCTATCTTAAGGCAGCACTACCAATGTGGTTTTACATTCATTAGCCTGGTATCAGTGGTGATTGCTTTCACTGGTGGACACCTGGCCATGGGAAATTAGGTAAACATTGCCTCATTAACCTCCACACCACCAGTTAGACAGACAATAAAAAATAGTGAGGTTGATTGAGGATGTAGGAAGAATGGATACTCGTGGTACAGAATGGTGAAGGTTTGTTTTCAGTTGAAATTACTCTTAAGGGATAAATTGTTAATGTGCTGTTATTCCAGATTTCAAGAAGAACTGATATGGTGGCAGAATTAAGAAGACAATTAATGGCTGCTGAGGAAGAAGACAGCTTATATCCTCCTCTGAATGTGACCACTGGAAATCAAACATGCATCCTTTTCTATGCTGGTAATTTCAGCCTCAAAGCCAGCAGTTCAGTCTTAATAGATTTGACAAATGCAACATTTTTAACACAGAATGTGGATATTTCTGCCTCTGAGTGCTCAGACAGCAACACAACGTGAGTAGCACAAGAAATTTCATATCATAATACCTGTAATTCTGAAACCTATGAGAAATATTGCCATGTGAAATGAGTGCTATTTTAATTTGCTTCTCCTAAAGGATCCAGATATTTTTTTTAAAAAATGTATTCTTAGAAAAAAAAAGCTAGGTCAAGCCACAAAAATTGTTCAGATGAAGCCTCTTATTTTCACGATTTTTTTCTTCTTTTGCACTTTACTTCCTTGTTTGTTTATATTTGGTCCAAACAGGTTTCCTTGTGCCTGATGTCACAATTACAAAAATCTCCACTGGTATTAATGAGATCATAATTTCATTCCCTTGAAGGGAGAGTATTGCCAGTTACGAGGCAGTAATTCAGCTGGAAGCACATTAATGAAACATGATCTCTGTTTTCCTTTACCTTGAAGCACCTGCTCTTGGGTAATTAAAAGCCTAGAAATATTTAGTCATATTTTTCTGTGTACTGAACCTTTGCTACATGACTTTTGTAATTGCCTACTGATTTAGAATATTCCCTCAAATATTGAAATGTCACAATGATCTAATTAAAGCTGACTACTCTAACATTAAAAATCTGTTTCTTATTCTTAGACTATCATTAAAATACACAAATCCAGTGGATGGAATCAGCAGCCTAGAGATAAGGTAACTTATGATTTATTTTTTAAATAGATCTTTGTAGCTTACAATGCCTGATAGTAAACTAGAATAAAAAAAATAGAGGAGGAGCAAAGTATTCAAAATACTTTTGAATTTATGATTTGCTTTCTCTTCTGAGGAGTCACTATGCAGGAAAACAATGACATAGTCTTTATACAGAGAAGATATTTATATGTTCAGGTAAAGTTCTGAAAAAATATTGTATGCAAACATCCATACTGTAAGGTACTGGTATATTCAGCTTCCTGTTTTACTAATGGGATCTGTCCACAGTCCTCTGTCAGATAAATCCAACTGTGATTTGTAAAAAATTACACAGGCTGAAGTCTACCTGCATGGCCAGGGCTGTGTTGAGTCCTGATGTGGATTGTCAGTGCACTCTTAGTGCAAGCTTGTGGTTAATGAGGGCTGCAAAAAGGCTTAAAAAGTCTTTTCTGCTCCATTGGTGGTGACAAGACAACATTTCTTCTTCCATATATGACAAGGGGGAAGAAAATCCAGGGAATTGGAAGACTTGGAAAGAAAAATTAAAGGGAGAATCATAGAATTATTTCTGTTGAAAATACMTCTGTGATCACTGAGTCCAACCTTCAACCCAGTGCTGCCAAGTCCACCACTAAACYGTGTCCTAAGTGCCACACATACATAGCTCTTAAATATCTTCAGGGATGGAGACTGAGCCGCTTCAGCCAAAAGCCTTGGCACCCCTTTAGCTGAAGAGATTTKGCCWAATATCAAACCTAAACCTCCTGGTGTGATTTGAGGCCATTTCCTCTCATTCCATGCCTTCTTACTTGGGAGAGGAAACTAACCCCTACCTCAATACAACCTCCTGTCACATTCTTGTAGGAAGTGATAAGGTTCCTCTCCTCCTGGCTAAACACCCCCAGCTCCCTCAGTCACTCCTTGTGCCAGAGGTCTTGTGCTCCAGCCCCTTCACCAGCCTGATTGCTCTTCTCTGGACTTGCCCCAGCCCCTCAATGTCTTTCTTGCAGTGAGGGGCCCAGAACAGGATTTGAGRTGCAGCCTCACCAGTGCCAAGTACAGCAGGACAATCACTRCCCTGGTCCTGCTGGCCACACCATTGCTGATCCAGGCCAGGATGCCATTGGCCTTCTTGGCCACCTGGGCACAGCTGGCTCGTGTTCAGCCTCTGTCACCACCACCCCCAGGATCTTTTTCCCTGGGCCCTTTTCCAGCCACTCTGTCCCCAGTCTGTAGCGCTGCCTGGGGTTGTTGTGACCCAGCTGCAGGACCCAGCCCTTCACCTTYTGAACCTCCTGCACTTGGCCTTGGCCATCGATCCAGCCTGTCCAGATGAATGCTCAAATGAATAAATACCATTATTTACACTGAGACAGAAGGATGTTCTGCATTCAGGTAAAAGAATTTGTGTTGAGGAGAGTCAGTGATGTGTTTGGAGTGTACTCAGAGTGCATAGAGACACTTGCAGACATTGTCAGAGATTGTAACAGGTGGCAAAAAACCAGACATACATGGTTATTTAGCATCTGCCTTCTCCCTCAAGCATCTAGAGCTTTGTGAAGGAACATTGTGTACAGATAAGATTGCTGTTAGTATAGTATTTTTACCTTTTGACAATTGTAGTTAGCTGTGTATCAATTCCCTGAGACTTGTCTTGGTGATGGTGTCGAGAATGCCTTGTTCCCAATAATGTAAATTGTCAAAGGGACATGTATTTTCTTAAACGTCATGGGGAATTAAGGAAATATTTTCCTTGGATCGCATTAAAAAATACTGATCTCAAACCAAGACTCTGCCAAAGTTGTATTTCTCCTTTACTACAAGTCCCAAAATATCACTTTCTCTGGTGCTGCCCTGATGTTTTTCTGCCTGCTCTTTAGTGCTCCTGTCTCACTCTCATAAAGACAGACTCCCCAAAACTACTCTGATTCTCATTCTTTGCTCATCCTRGCATGTCTTAGCTGGTCTGCTGTAATCTCTTTCTGTATGAATGATTCTGGTTGTTTTCTACATTTGTCCTGAATATGACTATCCTCAGCATACTGTCATCCTTTCTAGTGAAATTGCAGTTCCAAGAAAATCATAGGAATCACAAAGCATCTTATGGAGCATGTCATTGTGCTTCAAAACTCATTAACTGCTTGATCTTAAAGGTGTTGTTTTCTTCAGCAGTCAACAGACTTCACTTAAATGTACAATAACAAATTGCAAACCTTGAGACACTACTGTAGAAAAAAAATCCTTTGGCAATTGAAACATTCATTTAACATTCTGTTTGCTGCAGCAGGCAGAAGATCAAATGTGATGTTAGTGYACACATGCACTTAGTGAGGAATATTTAGATTTATGTTTAGTAATCTGTTAAAAACTTACAGTTTTAATTAGTTATTGGATGAAAACTTTAATGTGGTCATTAATCTGAGTTGCATCTGGAGAGAAGAAATTTGAAGCAACTCTGCAGACAAACTAACTGTGATTTAAAAGGAAAATGTCAGTACAAAAGGTGAATGGTTCATGTTTTCTTTCTTTTTCAGGAAAATTTTTTTGTCCTTTGAGCCTGTTGTAGTAAAGGCAGAAATACTCACAAAGTTTTTCTTGACCTGTGCTTCTACTTGAACACATTATAACTAAATACCAAAATGCATAAACAGCCCTTGAAGCTGGAATAAGAAACTCAGGTTCCACAGTAGGTGAGGAATTGAAAAGAGAGTTCAGGTAAGGTCCTGGATGTTGTCATGCCCAGCAAGTAAGAGTAGCATAGGTTGGCTGTGTTTTGCAGGAGAATTTGATTTATTCCACTGAGCCATGTGTTTTTAATAGACCCTCAGGGCATTTAAACACAGATAAGTCTAAATTGATTAATTTTTATGTATGACACAGGTGCTTAGAAATATAAAATGGAATAGAGGAAGAATGTAGGGAGCAGCTCCCAGGGTAATAATTTCTTGGACCTTCATTATGCATTGACCTATTTGTGGGAGGAAGAGAGTGACTGTTTCTGTACTGCTTTTCCCCCTCTTTCCTTAACTTATTAAACTGTCTTTACCTTGACCCACAAGTTTCCTCATTTTTGCTCTTTCTATTCTCCCCCCTGTCTTGTTGAGGGTGGGGAGTGAGCAAACAGTTAAATGGGTGTCTGGCTGATGGCTGGTATCAACATGTAACACCTCAGAGCCTTATAAATTAAAAATAGTTCTAAAGACTCACCTGTTTATTTGYAGTTTTCTGTTGTATTGGTCACTTGATTTATGGGACAAGGGTGTCGTTTTAGGCCTCTGTTAGCTAYCATAATGCAATATTGCATGCTATATAATGCAAACAAAAAGATATATGGAACAGAACCAGAACGAGCCATTGACTTTTTTTGTGATTCACTGACACTTTATTCACCTTGTATATCTCAGCATGACTTTTGTCAAGGGCTTCTAAAATCCACAGAGATGCATTGCAACCTCTGTAGTCCCCTTCTGGTTCATTCTGATTACATTTTTTGCTCAAGATTACACCTTGGTAAGATTATGATCTGCCTTTACAAACAGGACACAAGCAGGGCAAACAGATGGGAAGGAACAGAGCTGAGAGCCACAGCTGCTGTTTTCCTCTGTAAAGCCCATTTACTTAAGTGCAGGAGAGAACATCTTGGAGACAGAAAGTGACTCCAGAGAGGACCATGTTTGAGTAGCTCAGTTTATTCATCAATAAAAGAGGCTCTAACTTCAGCAGCATGAGCAAGATCCTGAGCYTACCCCCTTATCACGGGCAGTCCCTGCCCACGTAGCGAGCAGCTGGTCCCACCTCCACCAGCAGCTGCGAGTGCTGCTTCATCCTGTGCACACAGCTGTCACCTCCCTCTCCCTCYCTCCAGCCAGAGCTGCATTCTCACTCATCCTCCCGCACTTGCCACTGCCAGGTGAGCTGTTAGGGAGTGGTTGTAGAGTGTGTTTGTGATAGGGCTGGAAAAGTGAGCTGCTGCAGCAGCAGGAGTGGAAGCAGTGGGCAGTGGCTCTTTGCTGGAAGAAGCATCATCTCAGCTCTCCCATAAACTGATGGCATCCAGCTGTTCAAGCATTTGTCTGTCATATTCYCTGGGAAAAAGTGTCTAAGTGAATAGAAGTGCAGAGTATTAATATTTTCCATGCTTCCATTGGTACATACTTGACTTATTTTTGCTCAATGAATAGAATAGACCTGCCCCAAAAACCCCATGTTTTCAAGTCTTTTGCTTAACTGTTTTGCTTTGAAACAGTAATTCTAGCTTTCTTCTGCTTCAGAAATGTCTGTGCTTGTAATGATTAGCTACATGAGACATGATCAGTGGTGGTGRCACTCAGAGTTCATACAGTTATCTGGCACAAAGGGAGCCTGGCCCATGACCAGGAATTTTTTGTTCCACCATACATAAAGTACATAATGTCTCTAATGTACATAATTGTCTCTAATGTTTAACATGAACATAAAGTTTCCTTAAAAAGCCAAGGTACTTTCTGTTCTGCAGAAAAAATCTTTGTTCTCTCTCTGCTCTTTACCATTGATTTGCTATAATGTGCTCTTTTTATTTGCYATCTACTCATCTGAGAAAATGGTAAGTGAACAAATCCAATAGATCTTTGTGTTGGAATGTCTTTTTTTCTTGTCATTTAATGAATAATAGTTTCATCAGTTATCAGTGAAGTGTGTGCTTGTTGGCTAGTCACTGTTAGTTGTTTGGAAAAATGCTAAGGATAAGGACCTGTATTAGTAGATTAACTGTGCTCAAATAGTTAACTAATTAGAATATTAATTCTCATAAATCTGCAAATTATGTCAACAACATTTTAGTCTTTGGTGTAATGTGAAGAGACAGCATTGTCCTGGAAATCACTTTAGACTGTACTCACATACATGGCCTTACAAAAYGTTTTGTTCATACGGTCAGTTCACAAGGAATTTCCTTCTTCACCACTTTTCTCATCTTCACAGTACAGACCACACCCAGCCTCTGTGGCTGGCATAAACATGTAAGCTTCTCTGGGTTTATAATTGGCTTTCAGCTAGTGCCTTTAGCATTGCTACTGGGACACCATGGAAATTCTGTTCAGATTGCACTGTACAAAGTGCAACCTGAGGAAAAGGTTCCTCTCTTTTAGCAATGATATCAAGGCTTTAATTTTGTAACTGTACAAGAATAGAATCTTTTCCATAAATATTTGTGAATGTGTACTGGATAGAATTCGGTATTTTTTTTCTTTTTCACTGATGCTTGCAGCTGAATGTTTTATGGATAGAACTGTTCTGGCTTAAAACATAAGGAATGCCATGAGACAAAACGTTCTTTTCTCACTTCAGTGACACCGAGTTCTGGAGCTCCTTCTGAGCATTTTGAAACTCTTGAGGTTCCTGAAGTTATATGAATCAAAAGCCACAGATTATTAATAATTTTTTAAAGCATCATTTGTGGTTCGATTCTATGTTGTGTGGAGGCCACAATATTGAAAGTAACTAATTTGAACAAACAAGTAATAGTCTACAGAGACAATAATTCTCTTTCTATACAAATACCCTATATAACAAAAAATAGCCTATGATGTGCCACATTTAAGATGACTACAGTATTTTTTCAAACCAATTATAATTGCATGAAGTTATTACTTCAAGTTTTAAAGTCAACATACAGCGTTATCCATTGTGGATAGACATATTAGACTATTTCATTTTGTAGCAAGTCTCATTTATTGCTAAATAGATTTCTCTTCTAAATCCTTCGTAGTTACCTATAATCAAAAGAAATCATCAGCACATGCATAGACAAAATAGGGTTAAAGTATTAAACAATGAACACTGAGTAGAAACTTTATAATTTCCTTATGAAATGGCTTGAATGCCTAAAAGTAACTGTATAAAAAGTGGTAAAGGTTAGCACATAGTCCCAATCTTAGCAAAGGATCAGGATGTACTTCTGGATGTTTTCAATTATTTCTGTTGGGAGCTATTSAGATTGTGTTGGTAGTAACATACAAATAAATTCCATTATTATAAACTGCAGGAAACTGCTGCAATACCACACATACACAGATGCTTTCAAAATAAGAAAATACTTTTTTGTGCCTAGCCTATTTCAAATTGCGAAACTAAAGCTGACAATCCCTCCCTACCCTCCAGTGAGAGAAAACTGTCTTCTGTGTCAAATTCAGACCTTTGCAAAAGAAATTTCCATTTAGGCATTTGAACCAAGAAAGAATTGCAATGATAAATTAGAATGGCTATCATGCCTGTACCTATCAGAAAAGCAATTTTCCAAAAATCCCGTAAAATATTTATTCAAAGTCACTGCAGGCTTACTGATGTTTTCTCAGCTTCTTCCCACTGATTATAAACTGTTGGTAACTGATGAAATACGACACTGGCAGAGGCCCTTGAAGAAAGAAATTGCATTTGCTTCTTGCCTGCCACAGCAATAGGAAGCTCTGCTTGTGAGGTGAAACTCTAAGAAAATAGTAAACACATCCACATAATCTCTTCACTTGTGAACAATCTTAATGGGAGGCCATATCATCATCAGCTGTGATGTTTTCAGACAGCAATAGTGAATCTTTATCTGCCACCAGTACTTTTTAAAATGTATGTTAATTTTTTCCTTCTAACCTTTTGACTTTTTTTTTCTCCTCTGTTGTGTTCCTAGGTTTTTAATGACCAACAAGTTCTATGAAGTCTCGGCTAGAAATTGGTCCACTTTAGATTCAGTTGAGATYGTACAAGATGGAAACAAGTTTGCTAAATTTAATGTTTCTGCCATCTCTGCTCCTGCAGAGTATTCATTTCACTGTCAGCTGGTGGGAACAAGCAATCTCTATCCTGCAAGGCTGGTTCCATCCAACAGTGAGGCAGGAAACTGGGAGGTTTTCATTTCCAAGTTGCAAGTGAGTATTCATTGGCATTTCAGAGATAGCTCCAAGAACTATTACTTGTTATTTTAGGTGCTGGATGGCACACATTCATAATGTCCTTATATTCATTTCTGCCTAAGGGAAACTGTAAAAKAAAAGCTGTTCTCTCCCCTAGGTGAGCTCTTCAATAGAGGGGTAAAAAAGATGCCGATTGCTGTACAAGGAGAACATGAAAGCACAGCTTTGAAAAACAAAACTATGAAGTTGTCCACAAAAAAGAAAAATCAATTAAACCAAATGTGCCTAATCAGGCCAAGAATGACTAAGTCCTCATGCCTGTTTAATGAATTGGGCTGCTCTTGGAAACAGGAGCCTCTTAGCTGGGTGGCTTTATGCTGCTTACTTTGGTTTTATTTGATTTCTTGCCACTTTGTTTACCTAGGAAAGTACAGCTTAGTGTGGCTGCTGTTTTCAGTGGCGTACACTGTCTGTATTCCTGCAGATAGAAACAAAGACCAGAGCATGATTTAATGGGAGGTTTGCCATGGACTTCACTCAGGAGCAGTACTCAGTCCTCCATGGTGTAGGAGGAAAGAGATGGCTTTCTTTGAATGACAYATAGCTTTTCTGCATATTTATTAAAGTAGTACAGACTACACATGTGAGGTATAGATTACACCTTTACTATTTTGAGCTTTGTTCTTGACTTAAAAGAAGTATAACAACATTTATATATTAAAACAATATTGTACTAAGGGACCTCTTTGATGAAAGAGATTATGAAAATAACAGGAATAATTCCAAACTGTGCTCTGTTTGTCAAACATGAGCTAATCCCATGATAACTGGACAGAAATGCTGATATAATTGTATTTATAATTTTGATAACAAACCAAACGTCARCAATCTGACTCCAGACTTGACATTTCTACTTAAACAATGGTAATCTYAAAGAAAGAGCACTAGTGCTTAGATTTATTTTCCACAAATTTCAATATCGTCATTTTTTGAGAAACAATGTTGTAATATATACCAAAGGTGTGAAGGTTCCTTATGTTGGTGTTTTTTATGTAAATGCCTGAAAATACCACGGTTCATGCAATTGTGCTTTGCCTAGGCAACTCTTTGGAGTTAGGCTTTTGCATCACTAAGATATGAAAGGACATAACCTGTGAAATTACAAAGTGTTCACTTCCCATCTGTCTTTTCCTCGAATTTCTATATGCAATGATATTACCACCTTCTTAAAACTTAAGTAGGCCCTGCTCCTGCCTTAGTAGGCATCCTTTCATTGTGAACTTAATGAAGGCTAGATGTAGTTTCCCACCTTCCTTATTGATTTGGAACAGCAGCTGCTCCCACTGTTCAGACAACAGAACTTCCAATTCCTCTTGAGAAAGGGTTTTTTCTCTGATCAGGTCCTAAACATAGAAGAAAACCTGAAAACTCCTGTTCTGATTTTTTTCTGTTGCATGAAAAAACAGAAAGTCATTCTGGGCTYGTTTCCAAGTTCTATCAGAACTAAACCATACTTTTCCAGGTGTCTTCCTCAGATACATACTGAAAGGTGATMTCAGTATCAGTCTTTGTTATTGCATAAAATTTAGAAACACACAAATTCCCTTGCAGGGTGAAAAAAACAGGTGGGAGGTGCTCAGTAGTTGAAGCCAGCGCAAAATCTTGTTACTGAAATTGAGGAACATGATTTTCATGTCAGTGTTATGCAATGAATTAGAAACCAGGATCCAATGCCAATCTCACTGGCACAGTTGCACTTTGCAATGCTGGGTACTCAGAGCAGAATCACAGCAATAGTGTGCACTTAAGAGCCATAAAACCCACATATTTTGCTTGAAGTTTTTGTCAAAGGTCATATGATGAAAAATCTCAATTCAAAAAAATTTAAAAATTAACAGTAAATACAGCTTTGTAAACTAAGACAAATGACTGATCCAAACACTAAAATTAAAACTTCCACAGTACAGAGGCCTCTGCATGAAAGGCCTTTGCATTCATAAAAATTAGAGAACCACATGTAAGTATTTTTAACTTTTCTATATATACTGCTGAGAGTCTCATTTTTATCTCCTGCCTGGGATCTAACACCCCCACAGAAATGATGACGCTTCAGAAAAACAGTAAAATAACCCTGCATATTCTTAATCTCCTGCTTAAAGTAGAGATAACATTTTAAAAATGTACAATTGAATCTTTCACCTTGATGGTTCAATAAGCATAATGCTGTTAAAAAAAAAAAAGACCACTAGAATTGAAATAATAAGTTTCAGTATTTCTGGCTTTAAATCAGGAGTGGGAAAGCCCTTCTACATTGAATATACCTGTTAAATACTTTAGAGAGTCATTGTAAATGTGGTAAGAAGTTTGTATTGTTTTCCAGAATTCCAATCCACTTTTTTGAGTGCAAATAGCATAAATTATCACCTGCTTTATGGTTTTATTGCCAGTAAGTCTTTCAGGCTACATTTCATGACCCCTATTCACATTCTCACTTGTGGCCAAAGTAGTGGCTTAACAAGCAAAGGCTTTTGCAATCACATGTATTCTCTAAAACTGTGCAAACAGTTGTCCAGGCCGACAGCTTGTTTTCACTAATCCTGCTTTAATCAGAAGTCTGAGTACCTTTGGTGAAAGCAGACAGTTTTTGCTAGTTGACTACTATGATCTGTCTTGGAAAAGATTGTTCTAAGAGGCCTAGAAAAGGTTGAATTGCTAAAATTGTTTTCACCTCCACATTATCTAAAGTGCCCTTAGTTTTTTGCTTAATAATAGTTTTATTAATCAGCATTCTGGAAGGTGCAGACATTGCTCATAACACACGTATTATGTTAACATTACCTTCAGGCACCTGAGCCATGAGTGAATGCAAACCCAGAGTTACTGGTGTGACATGGTGTGCAAGCCACTGATTTGGTCAGTTTTTACCARTTGCATTCCTAGGAATTACAAACTCTTTTATTACCATGAATAAACTCAAGCTGTCCATTTATGTTATTATAAATAATAGAATAATCATGGTGTGGGAACACATAGAAGTAAAAAATAATGAATTTCTGCTTTCATGCTTATTGCCTGGTGAGAGAAGTGATTATAGTACAATAATTATTTTAAAATTTTATTTGATAATATTTTATACAAAGTAGCAGTTTTTAACATGTTTCTTTACCACTGGGTTTATGATATTTGGTGCTTTCCTGACACACCCATTTCAAAGATTCTGTAAATGCGTAAGAATCCCAGTCTTCATTTATCTTTATAAAATTATTTTAGTTTTATAATCCTTCAATTCGTTTGAACAAAATTTCTAGAAAGTTAGTGGTCTCAAAGGCATTGTTTTCTGATATTTTTGTACAACTGGTGACTAGGCAGAGAATGTATTTCCAAATTTTCTGAGGAGAATAATATGGCAGGAGGTCAGTCAATAGCAAACATTGAGAATTCAGTCAAATCAGAGATATTACAAACTTTTCAAACTGCTAGAAAAGTTTATATAGGTTTCATAAAATAATAGAAAACACATATTCCATATCTCAATAAAACAATCCTTCCCTTCTGTTTTGAGTCTTTGATGTCTAAAGAGGGAGGAGGAAAGCTTTCACAACTTTTTTCTCCTTGAACTTTCACTAAAACTCAGCCGTGAAAAGGTCATCTTTATTAGATGCATTTTAAAGTAGGTTCCAGGAGTTTTGTTTGTCAAGGAGTTATTAGCTAAAACTCTCAGACTATTTCAACAAATCTCATGATCCGGGCAGCCTTAACTCTCATGCCTTTGAGTGCTTTGAGCTTCTTGGTTCTGAAGTGGTCATTGAGCTGATGATCAATGAATACTGATATACTGATTATGTGAATACAGAATACTGATCAGAATACAATGAATGCAGAATACTGATCACATGTCACTTCTGGGACTTCTAAAAGTAATACAGATTTCTGAACTGGGAAACCTACTTACCGAAGAAATGTATTCTGCATCTTTAATTTCCTGGGTGAAAAGGAGAGCTGGAAAATTGTTTTGCAGAGGATTTTGTTCTCGTTCTTTTTTTTAATGGGAAGAGTACGATTGATAGTTAAAAGGCGTGGTTTGTTGTAATTACCGCGTGTATCCTGAAAGTAGGGACTACACCCTGTACTTAATTGCACTCACCTATCTACCTTTCTTCATTTTCAGATTCAAGGCTTCAATGTTATAAACAACCAGTTTTCCTATGCAAGTGACTGTACAGGTTTCTTCACTCCTGGAATCTGGATGGGCTTGGTAACAGCTATAATCTTAGTGTGGATCCTGACCTATGGCATYCACATGATCATGCAGCTCACAACAAACAGCAGATTTGATGATCCCAAAGGTCCAGCTCTGTCAGTTCCTCAGACAGAATAGCCATGGATTGAATTGATGCCACTGTGGCTTTTCCTGGTCTGATGTTTATGATTTTTATAACCTTTTTACATCATAATATGTATGACCTAAAAAGATACCATGGGAGAAAGAGATAATTAAACTACATATAAAAATGATCTTCATGCTTGGCAGCATTAGTAATTCTACTTGTTATTATGATCACTTGTTGACAGCTTTTTGTGTTAAAATCCTGAAGTGAGACTGCAGAGGTTTTTACTCTCTCTGGCTATTAGACCATTAAAACCTGCTTTAGGATTAACTTTTATGGGCAAAGAAAACATACCACAACATAAATTATTGGGAAGGATAAAATATTTGAAGGGAAACTATATRTTGAAAATACTGGTCTCTCTGAAGGCTCTTTAGTAAGTAGGTCATGATGATGATGCATCTTAAGAAATTTTAACTGTGCCTTGTAATTTTTTTCTCTTGAGTAAAAGTTCCAGAAATGTACAGAACTAATAAAGTGTAAGTCACTAAATAAATGTCCTGAGAAGTTTTTTTAAAATATATCACTTTTTCAGGTGTGGTATCACAAAGGAGAATGGGTAGGTGAAGATTTAGCTCAATCCACTCACAGGTTATTTTATGCCTGTGAGAATTACACTGAGTAACACTGATTTGTGTTTGTTTTAGCCATGGAGAACTGATGGGATTCTAGGGAAGATCAATCCTTGTCCAAACTGATCATGAAATTAGATTTGGTGTCATGGCAATGAATGCAACTTCTCAAGTTCAGAACCTRTTACGATTCAATGTGCCAGTGCAGACAGCACCTTCATAGGGATGAGGTAGTTTTCTTAGCCTCTTCCATTTTCCTGGCATCTTTGGAGATGTTATGAAGTTCATACCAAAAAAAGAAGCACTGTGCTAATGAACTGTTTAAGTCTGAGCTTTTTATGGTCATCTTAGAGCTCCTTGAAGCCTGAAAACATTCACAGTATGCTGTATTCTTCTGAAATTAATAGAAACACTGCATCTTCTAATTGGGTAATCTGATTATGGAGTCAATTACTAAATTTTATTAAGAATTAGGAAACAGTAAAAGAGCAATGGTAAAATGGTGAAAAAATGGGTAAAAGTAAGACTTATTCTTTGTTCTGGAATGTTTTCTTATGACTGTGCATGTTCAATTAATAGTTGCAAAATAAAAAAAAATATAATTTTGACAAAATTACATTTGGGAAATGAGAAAAATTGGAACTTTTTTGATCTTGATCCATGTCATAGTACGATAYTGAGGAAAGACAGTTGGAATCAACTATTTAACTAGACAGACAACAGTTTTGACCCATCATTTCTGAGTTTCACACTTTCATTATTCAGTCCAGAAAGTAAATTAAATGCTATTTGAAGCTATTCCTTCTGAATCATTCAATCCTGACCTGAAAAACAAAAGGAAAGTGTCATATAACTAGCAGAGGTATCTCCTGTACTGTAATATTTTTCCCAAATGATTTTCAGAACCTCAGAACAAAGAATGCATTTGATCTACATAAAACCTCTGTGTTCGAAAGGCATATTTTCTTTGCACAAATTAGTTGCCGGGAGACAACTGGACTTGTTTTATTAATTCTCCCTTCAAAGCAAGTCGCAGGAATGTGACAACTGAAAATTGACATAATAGTCATGTAAATGATYGCTAGAAGACAGAAAGGCTGTTGCAAAGGATGTGGTTTGTAGAAGACTTAGGACTTAACTAGCTTCAGTAAAATTTGGAACAGATTTTGTTCAACAGTGGTGAGAAAAAGAATTGAACAACAGCTTTACCAGGCCACCTGGCTTAGGATTCATTTCCAGCAGTGTTTTAGGTGTGGTGAGCATCTGGTAGTGCTCCCTGCAGATGTTCTCCCRTTCTCCATTCTCATTTAGCTCAGGTGCTTCATCACCCAGAAGTGTTGCCTTTGTATTTATTAACTCTGGGTAGAGCTGTGACCCATGACTTTGTCCAGCCTCCTCCTGAGCCTGTGGGCTCTCCTAGAGCTCACAGTGTCCTGGGAAGGTTTATATCCTCTCTTGCTTGCCTGGGATGAGCTCTGGAGAAGAGGGAAACAGTCTTGTATTGACTGTATCATGAGGAAAAGATAAGCCTCTTTCAGAAGAGCTGTTTGCTATGTTTGCTATTACACATTCCAGGGTGAAGGTGAAGGCATTTTTAACAGAGAAAAGCTTTTTATTTCTGCCTTCTCTCACAGCAATACCAGGCTTTGGCAAGTAGGGCCTGTGGGGCCTGTTTCTATAGTGACATGGGATATCTTTGTAGGGAAAGATCAAACCACAAGGTTATCCTTGAGATGTCTGTGCTGGGAAACACATCAGGAAAAGGAAGGAACCATCCACAGCTCTGGCTGTCCTGGGGGCTGGGTGGACAAGGCTCTGGGACAGTGGCTGGTCTGTCATAGAAAGGAACTGCTCTCTGTCCACATGGGATGGGTTCACCTGGCTGGCTGGTAAATCCCCACCCTGGTGCTCAGGGCACCTGGACACAGCCACCCAAAAGGCCACCTCGGAGGGCAGGGCAGGCTGCTGGAGTCCCCMTGCCCTCTGAAACCCCTGAGCCACACCACACTGCCCTGTGGCTGGAGACAGAGACAAGTGATCACTTCGTTCAGCAGGGCTGACTTCCTTATTTTGAAATAGGACTGTGCCTCAGGAAATTCTAGGAGGATTTTGCACCTGTCTGTGTTTGTTTCCCTTTCTGAATAAAGTTAAAAACCTGTCAGGGGCCTTCCAGCTCTGCGTACTTCTGATTTCATAATTCAGCTTAATCRTAAATGTACTTGTTAAAACATGCCTGTTTTGGGAGCTGTTCCAGACAGAATATTAGCTCTGTCTGGAAAAGTGTGAGCCTTTAGGACATCTACCAGAGTTCACTGAATTTATCAGAAGTACTGTGCTCTGTGTCTGCTAGCTCATTTTTCTAACCAATTTAAAAAAAAATGTAGTAAAGATGAAGGGTATAATGAGTAAGAGTATCAGTTGGATAAGTAAAAGCTCTTTTTTCATATACATATACATAAATTGTTATGAAAAAAAAATCAGGAACTTAAAAAAAACTATAGCAAAACTTGAACAAAATCAATTTAACTCTGTAGAACCAAGACTATAACCAGAGAAACTAAACACAWAAGTCCCAAATAAATAAGTTAAAGTTTTTCATTCCAAAATTCAGCAGTAATCATTTGTTGGAAGGGATAGCTGAGATGGAGCTAGAATCTGAACCTCCTGATTTGTGTCTTGGTCTGTTGGTTTCTCTGCCTCTAAAATTACTTATTTCAAAATCATACAGAAACCCAGCAATCACTTATAATGACACAGAGTTATAATAGGAAGAGTCCAAAAATAGTGTTTTTATGTGAGCAATAGAGGAAGGCAGGTTATTCAATGTGGAAGGGAAAACTCAATGAAGTAATTAGCTCCCCCTTTCTTTCTGTGTGACTAATTAATTATATGCAAATCTAAATCAGCTGAATTATTGGGCAATGCCCAGGCATTAAAGGGTTATGTAATTATTTCAGCATCAACTGAGGTCAAACAGGAGAAACTACAGAGGCTGAAAACAAGGAATGACCTTGAAAAGCTAATTCCTGAGATAATCAGAGACACGAGAAGAAATCTGARTATTGGATAATGGTCACTGCTGGCAGAAGAAATAGTAGTGGTGATGATTTGTGGGGCAAGTGTAGTGACAATCTTACCCTTACACAAAACAAGAGGATGAGACAGCACACACAAGGGAGCAGGGACTCCTTCTCCTGAAGGCTGTTTTTCARTCTTGCATTCTGTAGTGGATTAACCTTGATTGGCTGCCAGATGCCCATTTGGCTACTCTCTCCTTCCTCCTCCTCAACAGGATGAGGGAAGAAAATCAGATGGAGAATCTTGTGGGTCAAGATAGAGACAGCAAAACCATTTAGCCATTCCTATTATGGGCAAAACAGATTTATGGAAGATTAATTTATTGCCATTTAAAATAGATTGGGTGGTAAGAAACCAAAATAAAACTAAAACAATGCCTTCAGTCTGCACAAATGCAAAAAAATCCTACGGTGTCTAATACYTTCATTAAAAAGCCCTGATCTTCAGTTTGCTAATAAAGGTTTTATTCTCAGGCTAGTCCATTACCTAAAAGTAATGCAAAATCAAGGAGAAAAGGACACTTTCTTCAGAACTCAGATTTCTAAAGGCTTAAAAATTTTTGAAGTGCAGGGGGGTGGGGCAAGAAAAGAAACAAACTACGGAGACCTTGCCAAGGGGTGGTTCCTCTAGCAAGTAGTTTCTCCTTGCCAGAAAGAGGCCAGTGTCTTTCTCAGTCTTCCTTCTTGTGTAGGTGGAAAGAGGACTAACAACAGTGACTGAGCCCTAGAGCAAATCTGCTGCTGTTGATGTCCCACAAATGAAGTGGCAGCCTTCTCTCCACCACAACTTTTTGTGTGCTTCCTGTGGGAACAGAGGTTCCCTGCTCCAGTTTATCTGGATTTCCATATAACTCCTGGAGCTGGTATGTTCTTGAGTTATTATAGTTGCGCTTCATTTTAGACTGTATTTTGTGTCATTCATTATTGCCATAATAATGAAGGTAGTTTACTGAATGATTGTATATTTTCATACAAATAGCAATGTAAGTGTTCAGTGGAACACTGAGGAATCAATTTTTASTCTTTATTAATATTTCTTTAACTAGTTGTGTAAAAGTAACATAAAATGAATGGTGTACAGTCACTGCGACATCATACACAACTAAATTTAGATAAGGAAAACAGTAGAAATGTTTTTAACGTAAAAAAAAAACCCTAACAAATGCTTTCATAAAAGTAATTTAGGGAGGTGGATAAATTATGGACCTTCTGAAGTAATGTTTGAATTACAGATTTGTGTGTCCTATTTACTCTGGGTAAATACAGATGGTATGGATGGCAAAGTGATCAGTTAAGTTATTTAACAGATACCTTTCACTGAAGTGTAATGGCATGATTTAAGACATTGCTGTCCCTACCTACCCTGCCCTTTATTCTTGTATGTCTGTCCCTCAGATGCCTGTTAAGCCCACACTCCTGTGCTCTCTTTTTCCACCAAAGTTGTAATATATCAGATTTTGCACTAGAGTAGTACAGATGCAGATTCTTGTCTGAGTCTGTCATTCTTGCTGCTGACTAACAAAATCCTGACAGAGGAGCAAAGCAGATAGCTGCAAACACGGATGTCTTAATATATTGTAGCAATGCTGGGGAAAGATTTTTACTACGCTTGTCAAAAGGGGAGAAAAAAGGATGCAAATAGCCAAGTACCTTGTCAGGATCAACATCACCAATAGTCTGAGAGGCAGGACCAGCTCCAGCTCTGGGAATGTCMTTTCTGTCTCTGCCTCAACACACTTCAGCTAATACCTCTCTCAGGGCAATTTTGGGAGTGCTCTCTTCACATCCTTCTGTGAAGATCCCTAAAGGCTGTCTGTGGCAGAAGATAGCTAGAGGACATCAAGATCCATCTGTGGATACCTTGTCTCAKTCTGGATCTTCAGACTGCAACTGAACAGGGATGCCCCAGGCCCCCAACAAGTCTCAATTCTTCTCTTCAGGAAAAGAGGAAAAACAAGTGTGGAAGAGGAAGGGCAGTTCAGATCATCATCTTTTCCTCAACTGTGAAAATCCTTGCCTTTCTGAGTGGTTTCCRGAGTCCCTGGGTAGAAAAGCAAGGCTGAAAACAAAGGACCCAGACACTTCCAGTGGAGATTTGCATCTGTGTGATGCTTGGCTGTCTTAGAACATTGTTCAAGTCTTCAGCTTTCTCTCCCAGGGCCACTCTCTGGGGCTGTCAACAAACTAAGGTGGGAGTCCCTGCTTTGGCTGCCCTCCAGAAATTCAGAGGTAGCTGAAAGGGAGTGTAAGGAGGGCACCGGGCAGCTATATCACATTTTTCTTACTACCTACATGAAGCATGAGAATTAGAGTGCTTCAAGCAGAAAGCTAATTTTTAAGTAGAAAAATCTGAGGCTTCACCTATCTTTTTATAACTAATTAGTATTACRATAACAAAATAGTCTGCTTTTGCTTGTAGAGCTTTCATTGATATGTACTTATACTACAAGAGTAGAGTGGTTCCATCAGTTTTCACTGATTTAGATTTTACAGGAGTTTTTGGCAGTGTGCTGATTGGTTTTGCCATCAGAATTTACACCTTAATGGATTACTGCTACCAATTTCTGTGGTCTAACCGTAATTAATAGATACCTAAATGGAGATAAATTAGTACAGTGTGGGTTTTGTATGGTCCCCCCCCCTTAAATAGCACAAAAATTCTTTACTGGATATATCAGGGAATTTATAGTTTTCTCCTATTTTGACATAATTTTAACCCATTTGTGCTATTGTTGCTTTTATAACACTCTGAAAGTTCAAGGGGGCAGAAAGGGTTTATTGGGCTGAGCACACTTCTGGCAATGGGTAAATGAGCTAAAGATTAATGATGACTTTTCTGAATTGTAATATCTGAAACTCTCCTCTCTATGAAACTGGTGTCTAAGAATTAAGAAATACATAGATTTTTGCCTGATGAATTATTATCTTCTGTTTGTTATGAAACTCTTGGTTAGCACTTGATCTAGCTACTTTTACCACCTTACTTTACCAGAAAGCTTGAAGGGCCTCCTTCAGTGGGGTCATTGTTTTCAGCTGGAATAGCTTGTGGTTTCACTTCAAGGATTCAGTCAGATTGCATGTTACTCATTAAGTACATCTGCCCCTTGTCTAATCAGGAATGTATGCATCTGCTGCAAATCCAGGGCTGGATTCAGCTGCTCTGCAGTGGGTCTCTTGCTCCAGAAGCTGTTTGTGTTGTACGTGGAAATTATACAGTGATCAAAATTATGGCTTGTGTGCTTCTCTGATAGYGCAATAGATAGGACCTTCTGTCTCAAAGTGTCAGCACAATTCAACTGCAATAGAACCTGTGCTCCAGCACTTTGCACCCTAAAAGGCACTTGCCACAGAGGAAATAGCATCTGCCATTAGTGTCCTAAGTGARGTAATTTCATTATTGTCATTCTGTATTATTGTTTTAGTGTGTCTGGGAAGAGGATGATCTTTCCCCTTTCCTCTTTAAACACTAAATATCCTATTAGATACTTCTTTTAAGGAACCTTGTATCTTCACTTTACTGGTAGTGCTGTGGTGGTAGTCATTTTGTACCAAATACTAATACAAGCTTCTGATACAGAAAATATCTGCAAATCAAGATGTAYTCATTGAAATCGGTTCATGTGTACATAAAAACTGCAGCTGTTTGTCAGAATACAGCTTCTTTTTTCTGGTGTGCTACRGCATACTGTCATATATAAGCATGTATAAGCTACAGCTTAAACCTGAGATAACACTACTTGTGAGGGCCATATGGTTTGTCCAAGACCATAAAATTAGCAGTTCTCCCCCAAAACCGGATGGGTTAATGCGAAGATTATACAGATTTACATCATCCTCCTCTGCAGTGTGGTGCTCCTGCCACGCCTTCTCCAAACAGATGAAGTACTATCGTTCTCCCTAGCAGGCAGAAGTGGTTTGGCAGTTGGATATTGAGCCTTCTTTTGCTTCCTTGTTTTTTGTCCATGGGGCTGTGCTGCCCATTTGAACATCTGGCTTTAAGCTTTGCCTGAGATGAAGCTCACACTGTTTCTCCATTTTGCAATGTTTGCCATGAACCTTCTTTGACAGTAACCAGCAGAAGTGAGGGCTCACCTGATCCCTTCTGCCCACACAAGGCARCACCTTCAGCTGGTCCTTCCTGTTGAGTGACCCAATTGGTTAGAGCTGAGCTCTGTGTTTAAAAGCCTTTGGCAAGGGCAATGCACACCTGAGAGTGGCACAAGGCCCACTTACAGCCCTTTGCAGAAGGGCTTATTTGTTTAGAAACTTATTTGTTTAGAAAATAGAGGCTATTGCTTAACTAGCAATATTTCAGTCACTTCCATGACAACCAGCTCAGAGAGACAAAACAGGTCTTCACCAGAACACACAGCATCTTGAAAATATAATAGAGTAAATTTTACATAGCAACAATATGAAGTTTCCCCTAACTTGTGAATTTTACCTGTTAGCTGATGATTTAATCAGTGAAGTAATGGCTATTCTGCTAACCAGTTATGAGCAAATTGGCATTGATTTCTTTCCATTTTCAGGCATCCCTTGTTTTTGTCATGACTGGGGATGTGCCAGCACAGCGTGGTGCCCTCTTCCCTCTGCTGCCCACACAATCCAGCAGGTGCCTTGCAATGATAACAGCATTAAAGGGCAGCAATATTTGGAAATAAAGGCCTAATTCRAAGGCATTGGAATTTTTTTATCTATTTCCAGGAATCAAAGGAATCTGTAGCAAGTTACATCCTTATTTGTGATTCAGTATGAAAGAATATGAAAGTATTTGGAAGCAATGAAAAATGGTTGATGCAGTATTTTTTTTTTGTCATCTCACCTAGATTTTTTAATTGGTTCTTGAGAAGCAGAGCAAGCCCTGATAGATCTTCACAAAGTTATAGTTCTGTCTGCTTTTGTTTGTGGGTGTTTGTGTCCAGTATCCCTAGAAAGCATCTGGGAAAGACAAGTGTCCTGATACTCAAATCATTGAATATGTGATCTGATATTCAATCAAAGTACTGATATTTTATCCTCTTATTTTWTCATTGCATCCTGTTTTGTGTCATGATCCCATCAAGAGGTTAAGAACATAAAATATATAAAGTAGCAAATTCAAAATCTTCTGTTGTTCATGCTTTCATTTGATGTGGCAGTAATTTTTAATGCAGTTAATTTTGAGAGCTAAAAGGAAACCTCGTTTCAGAGCAGAAACCCCACAGTACTGTTGTAGTCGTATTAAGGAAAATTTAGCCATAAAGTAGTTGCATCAAATCCTGGATTTTGGACTGAAAACAGTATACTACAGAAAGCTACTCCCTCAATTATATTCTTTCAGCTGAATGTGAAGGCTACTTTACAGAAATTTTTGGCAAACCAAAGGCTGCTATAGAAGCCACTTGTTCAACACACAAGAGGAAATGTTCTATCTATCTATACATCGATATATCTATACATCTATATATTGCATGGAATCACARAATGGGTCAGGTTGGAAGGGATCCCAGTGGGGCATCTGGTCCGCCCTCCCTGCTCAAGCAGAGCCATCCCAGAGCTCATGGCACAGGAATGTGTCCAGATGGTTCTGGAATATCTGCAGTGAGGGAGACTCCACAGCCTCTCTGTGYCACACTTTACAGTCACCTGCACAGTAAAGAATTCCTTCCTCATATACAGGTGGAATTTTCACCCACACTCCTTGTTGTATCTTAGACACAGAGGCACCACCTCTGCTTTGCCATTGCTGCACCCAGACTTACTCAGCAAAAGCTCCTGTGTCATCATCACCTGTAAGGTGTTTTATCACCATTCAGTCTGTCCCCAGACCTTGCTTCCACCTAGCACTCCCATGAACTTCCCTGAGTATCTGCTCTGCTAT